AATATATGCATATATTAGTACTTGCAAATATCAAGTTTATGTAGAATAGTTTTTGACAAAATTAGGTAAGTAATGACAAAGGAAGATATGTTCTCATCAGAAATCAAAACTGAAAGAATTTTATTCACTATACCTTTTATCTAGAAAGCACAGATGTTTAAATATATGCGTCTATTTGTTAGCAAAGGTTTTAGGAAAGTATAGTTTGTCTTTATTTAGAAAATATGAATGTTGTGCTTGATAATTTTCCTGTTGCAATAGTGTAGATTGATTCAGAGGTTCTGGCGCCTATCTGCTCATTGTACATTGGTTATTACCATGGCCACCCTTATAAAAATTTTCTGGCTACGCCTCTGTAGATACCTGAGCATATCTTATCCTTTTAAACTAGGTAAAGGCTTTTCTCAAGAAGTAGGAACCCCAAAGACGCAGAACTTCAAATATTTTCAACCAACCCACGCTTTTATATATATATATATATACCTGAGCTTTACAAGTGTGTTTAAGCATAGGCTTTCATAAAAGCACACTAGATCTGCTCTATTAGTCTTTGAACATCCAAGATCAGCTGGAGTTAAAATAATTACAGCTTGTATGGGGAAAATGTACACTGCACAAAATGGAAATCTTTTTTGCTTAAATTAAGTGCATTTCTTGAGGAGGTAATTGAGATACTTTGCCAATGGAACAGACAATTTATATTTAAAAAAAAAAATGCTTTGTCTTATTTCAAGTGCATATTTTCTAATGATCTTGTGTTAGGAGTGAAAATACTAATTCCACTGGCAAATAATCTTATTTATCTGCTCAAATTAAGGGCAAATACACTAAATTTAAGAATTGTTTTTACTTAATTCTAGATGTTTTTTGCAGTGTTTATAGTTGTTTCCTTATTCCCATGCGTGTGGGTATAAATTAACCAGAAACTGACTCACAAAACAGGTGACTAAGAAAATAATTGCTGATCAGTCATCGTGTTGGCATGAACCCTTCAGCCAAAACAACATGAAAAAACATCCGATTACGGATCAATTCATGTTACCACGGCAACAGCAATTTACCGCAGGTTCGCCTGAGGACCGCCCACCCCAATAAACCGAGCCCTCTCTCCTCCAATCCAGACAAAAGACGGCGGCAGATCCGCGGCGGCGCGCACTGAGCCAGAGCATCTGTAGCACCTTCAAGGAGAGCTGGATCCGGAGCGGAGGAACGCACAGCAGACACGCCCTCCAAACCCACCTGAAATCCTGCTGACTGCCTAACTGACCTTGGTCAAGGACTCAGAAACGGAGAATAAGCCGCGATTTATTAGTAAAGACAGAACAGCGCGTTCCCATGATGTCATACCTGTGGATTCTTCTATTAGGGAGCCTGCTGGCCTCACAAGCCAAAGCACAAGGTAAGGATTTATGTTCAATTAGTAAATCCGTATAGGCTTTAATTTTATGCAAATATCTATCTGTCTATCTATCTATCTATCTATCTATC